GGGAAGGGAAGGGAAGGGAAGGGAAGGGAAGGGAAGGGAAGGGAAGGGAAGGGAATAGGGGGTAACACAAAGCACTACAATTGGTAAGCTTGGAATGGAATAACTTAAGAATCAAAGAAAGACTTACTTGAACTAGTAGGTGACCTTTGGACCTCCCCTAATCTGTATTTCAAGTCTGTCACATAGTTTGGAGCTTTGTCTTGGTTTTGGTTCTGGGGGCCACACTTCCTGCTGCATTTGACTGACTGAAGGCATCACTGGCACGTTGGTAGGTAGATTTGTCATATTTCAGCCTTCAAAGGAAAATTAATGGAAGAATTTCTGATGATTTCTGTGGTTGTTAAATCTGGCCCTGAYGTACTTTGCCCCTGAAAGTAAACGATGAAGAGCCACCCTTTCTGAAGCTGTATCTACTCCAGTCAGTTCACCGTCATGATCTCTCCTATTCCCCTCAGCAAACATTGTTGGACCCACGTCTTGCATCTTTGTACTTGTTTCTCGTATGGTTTCCAATGCAATTTCAGCCTCTGCTACCTGCAAGCACCAAGTTGTGTCTTTTCATCATGAGCTAACTTAATAAAATCACAGGATGGCTTGGGTTGGAAGGAACTTTAAAGATTGTCTCRTCCCAACCCCCTGCCATGTGTTCATACGTGTCCACCTTTTTAACCTGAAAGGTTACACTGAACCTGATCCACCTCTCAATTATCTTGTGGTCWGGTTATTAACCTCAGTGCACAACTAGAAAGACTGTAAGTATATTTATTATACACCTTTCTAAGTCAGGACTGGAGGCTCAGCAGAATAAACAGAGGAGCAAACACAACACTAAGTGCTGCACATGTTGTATTTAGTTCACAGGAAAAGATCACAGGCTGGGCTACTCCCTTTATATGAGCTGATTATAACATGTGCTTGCAGTGCTGGTTTCACAACATTCATCTGAACTCCCATTAATTAATCTGTGTTGGATTACCCATGCTGGAAAGCTGTGATAGTTTAAATCAGGTCAGCTGGTCAGATTCTTGCACAAGTTTCTCTTTGTGCTTAATATCAGATTGCCAGTGTAAATTAAACTCCAATTCATATTGTCTTTTCTCTGACTTTAACTAAGATAGGTTATCAATCATAAGGAAGAACTTTGGTATTTTTCACCTCTCTTCATAGTATCAGGATCTGTACAACTCCTTGAGTTTTCAAGATACTTTTCCAAATAACATCTGTTTTTTTGTTGTTTTTAATCCTCCACACTTTTAGGTTAAAAATCAAGGCAGGCAAGCTGAACTTTCTCAGAAGTTGATGATAAACATTGCCACCAGACAGGAAAAATTAAGATCACAGGGTATATGGGAGCTAACCTGATGACAGAAAGAAAGAGGATGCCAATTTTCAGTGCTTTTTATTTGCCTTCTCATGTGTTCGTTGTTGTTTTTTTTTTAACTAGAAGGGTCACATTCTCACTTTTTTCTTTGTGCTGGGTACAAATGTTGTTTCAGTAGCTGAGGCTTTGAGAACAAATAAACAAATAATCAAGCCACATGGATGGGTTGTGTCTCGGTTTGAGACAATGTTTTCAGAGAAAAAAACATTGCAGAGTAAATGTTTCCTCTGAAGTGGAAAATTTGATAATTTTTTCCTACCAATATGAAATAGATGTTCGRGCAAAAGTGAAGCAAAAAAATAGCTTATTAACAAAACAACATGCCCACAGGACACAGATAAAAAGAATTGAGTAACTATTAGATATTTAAAAGTCCAGGAACATACACTGCTCCCTCCCCCTACAGCCCCTTGGCACGTGGTGCATTGAAAGATGGCACGGCTCTTGTCCCAGGAAAAAAAAGAAACAAAAGAAAAGTCCACATGGCCTCTTGGGTAACAGTGGGAACCTGGTAGCAGTCCTCTCCTCACTGTGGATGAAGCAGAGGACTCGGTGTGCTTTTCTGTCACCGGCTTGGCTCCTCCAGAGTCTGGGATGAGATAGAGAGGTGCCTGTGGCTTGTCCCTGCAGGCCGCTGCTGATCAGCATTTGCCTCTCACTTCTCGGACCGAAGCCCTGCTGAGCTGCTCCAGAAGAAAATCACAGGAGCTGTAGAAGGGGTGTCAGTCCAGGGAGAGCTGTTTGCCCAAGCTAACAAACCCGACCTAGCTAAGTGGCAACAATTTAACTCCTCTGCACACATGAGCTGAACTTCCTCTGCAGCTGAGCTCCCAACCACCACTGGCTGTGCGCAGTCCCGGCTTTTAAGCGCCCCGCGCTGCCTTCCCACCACCCCTGCCCCTTCCTCCGGGTCACATTTAAAGGCACAAATGCATTTTGGGCATACAAGCAGATGGAATATAGGAATMGAGTGTTATCATAAAATCAACCCAAGACAGGTTGCTAAGTTGACAGTGCCATAGGCAGAGTAAATCTCATGCTAGTATARCACAAATGCCTTCAAAATGTGTCTTGTTCCCTAGGGGTAAACACAACTATATAAATCAACATATTTCAAAGAAAATAATGACAAACATTAAAAATGAAACCTCAATTTTAGATTCGTGCAAAAATAGCTTCTCAGACTTGCTGCCTTCTAGTCATAAAATAGAATCATTAAGGTAGGAAAAGACCTCCAAGATCCTCAAGCYYARCCCTTAACCCAGAACTGCTATGGTTACCACTAAGCCATGTCCCCAAGAGCCACATCCACATGCCTTTTGAACATTTTCAGGGATGGTGATCCCAGCACTTCCCTGGGCAGCCTATTCCTTGATTCTCAAAGGCATGTTGGCAGGGCATAAAATAAATCCATTTACCTCTTAAAGAAATGTAATGATGAAAACATAGTAATATCTCACAATTTTGTTGTCTGGTATAAAGATTTACTTACTTCATTTCAGATGCCAAGTATGTATCTCTATTACTGCAAACTTTTTTTTACAGCACTTTTAGTCCGGTAATGGTTTCTTTGATTTCACAAATTTATTGTCACTTTTGAGGTTTTCAGTTGTGTAGGTGCCTAAATAAGATTCAAATCAAGACACAGCATGACTTTGGAGTAACTTTACAGATAGTTAGAAACTCTGATAATAGTATGATTCTAAGAAGCCAACAAACAAAAGAGAATTGAAAACAAATTAGTTTCTCCCACAGGGAAAAGTAATATGTCCCACTGAGCTAACTCCCTCTCAGAGTGCAGGAAGAGTAAGCAATGCTCT